CCAGGACCCTGAGATCATGACCTGAGCCCAAGACAGACGCTTAATGACTGAGCCACCCAGGCGCCCCTGGGTCTTCTTTTTCTTATCAGATTACATGGTGATGACGTGCAGAGTACTTAACCAAGTGGTGTGGCTCAGAACAGTCATGAGCCTGCTGTAAAGATCTACCTCCTGGAGCGAGTATGAGCACAGGGACCCTGGGGCTATAGCATGTTTGTGGGGAAGGGACCTTAGAGATCACCCAACACAGGGCTTGGCAAACTGTATCCTGTGGACCGAATCCCACCTAGCATCTGCTTTTGTAAATAAAGTTTTATTGGAACGCCGCCACTCCTATTCCTTTGTATGCTGTCTGTGGATGCTTAACACTTCAATCGCAGAGTTGTGGTTGCAACAGAAACTGTATGGCTCTCAAGCCAAAATTATTTACTGTCCAGTTCTTGATATAAAATGTTTGCTGAGTCCTGATTGAATACGTTTTAGATCAGATGTGAAGACTGGATCTAAATACCAAGCTTCCGGGGGTAGACGGATTTGTCCACCATGTGGTGAGATAGAGACTGAGCTGGGAGCAGGACCCCAAGTCTCTCAACTTCTCGCTTCGGGCTCCCCTGCCTCACTCATTCCACTGCCCTGCCTTTCCTAGATGCAGTTCTTTTGTAAAGAGGAGTAGACACCAGGGTGCGAGTGTCTTATTCACTGTTATAATCAGCACGGAAGCTTCTTATGTCTTGAGCGGACAGACAGACCCATCCTGGTTTAGCATCTGCAGAAATCTGTTTTTATACCTGTGGGTTTTGTTTGAAATGGCCCTGTGTGGAGGTAGCACTGCGACTAGTAAAAATAATTATATTAATAAACACTGTGCCCAAGGCCCTTGGCTGACCACAGTTCCATTCAGCAGTGCCTTGAAATCTCACAGCAGCCCTAGGAGGTGAGAATTACTGGAAAGGGAACCACAGAGAGAGTGAGTCACTCCAAAGCCCCAAAGTTGCTGTGTGGTGAAGTTGGGTTCATGCCCAGATCATGCAACCCCAAAGCCTCTGTCCTGAGCCCCCTCACTGTGCCATGGTGTTGTTCTCAGAGACAATCTGATGGAAGGGTCCCCTGGGACCCAGGTAACCCTCGAATAGGAGGCCTTAAACAGGACCGAAGCTTCTCTCTACACAAGAGTCTGGGAGGTGCACCAAGCTGGAATGGCCACTATGAGATCAGCCAGGCCCCTCTCTTGTTTCCCCACCATCATTAGCATCTGCTTCTCACCATCACTTCTGGATGCTAGCCAGGGAGAAGGAGAGAAAGTAGAAGGCACCCACCTTCCCTTTAAGGGAATGGCCCAGAAGTTGTACGCATTATCACTTCTCCTCATGTCCCATTGGCCAAACCTTAATCACGTGACCATCCTAGCTGCAAGGGAGCCTGGGAAATGTAGTCCTCAGCCAGATGGCCCAGTCAAAATTCCAGGGTTCTGTTGCTGAGGAAGGAGGGGAGGGTGGATATTGGGGACAGCAGGCTGTCTCTGCCATAGACGGGCGCCGGTGGGGTGGTCCTGTTATGGAGTCTGGTGAGGGTGGAGGCTACCTTGATCATGAAAGTTTCCATTCTGCCCTGACAGGTACAACTGTAAGGAGGAGTTCCAGATCCATGAGGAGCTGCTCAAGGCCCATTACACGCTGGGCCGGCTCTCAGACGCCACCCCCGAGCACTACCTGGTGCAGGTGAGGGCAGCCCGGCCCCTTTCCCCCTTCGGCCTCCCCCACCCACCTCTGGTCCTCCTTCTTCACAGGGTCCCTCCCTCCTGCTTTCCCCACTGACCCCTTCTCTGAGTCATGTCCTCACCCCACCCTCTGGGCTCCTCCCCCACTTCCTGTCACCCCCTGGTTTCCTGGGCCATGCCCCCTGCCCCGCGGAGCCTCCTGATCGGCTCTTCTGGCAGGTCCCTGCCTGGCCTCAGTCTGCCCACACCCCGCCCTTGGAGCAGCAGGGAGAACAGAGTCAGGGCCCCAGCTGGGGATCTCTATCCTGTTCTCTACGCTCCAGAACTTCTCTGGCTTAGCTGCTTTTCCCCCTCACGTATCCCCTAGAAAGCCAGGTCCACACGCCCAGATGACTTTCATTTTTCTTGTTCACTGCAGCAGCCCCCAGCCCTGAACAGTGCTCCGGCACCGTGTAGGTGCTCAGTAAATAGTCAGAGAAGGGATAATCATGCTGATGAAACTGTGTTTGTTGAAAGAGTAGCTGGGATTTTCTGGTGTCTGGAAGAACTGGTTCCATTTCTAATCTGTCAGGCAATGTGTGGGTCCTGTTGGAGGGGCATGGCCAGATGATGTCCGAGCTCCTTTGTGCCCAGGAATGAACTCCCCTGGCGCCTCTTGTTCTCACCCTTTTACTCTGTCCCTCATTGCATCCATCACCCCGGCCGGGGAAGGGAGAGCCCCGTCCGTCCTCAGAGCTTCAGGACCTCAGGAGGGGGCTAGTGCAGGTTTCCTCTAGCTGATTCCTGGGGCCCCAGCTGTGACTCCCCACTTGGGCCCCTGCTCCAAGCCCTTCCTCTGGCTGCGGGAGACATTTGACTTCTTCCTGGAGAGCTTCAGGCCCCACCCTAGAGCCAGCCTCAGTTTCCTGCCCCTGGAGTGCCTCTCCCTACTTTCTTTCCTCAAGACCTGCCCCCAATGCTGCCTGCTCCATGAAGCCTTCTCGGATTCCCCATCAGGAGGAGTTGTTTTTCCCTTTCCCATGCTAAATGACACTCTTCTTGGGATCACAGATGGTCACATATTTTGTTTTTTCCAAAAGCCTGCAGACAACTTGAAGACCATGTCCCCTGCCCCATCTCTTGCTCCCCATCCTCTGGGGCCTGGGACAGAGCTCCACTGATAGAAGATGTCCCCGAGCATCTGAGTAACCCCTTGTGGCTCTTCCCCTGCCAGGGACGCTACTTCCTGGTGCGGGATGTTGCTGAGAAGATGGATGTACTGGGCACTGTGCGGAGCTGTGGGGCCCCCAACTTCCGGCAAGTGCGGGGTGGCCTCACCGTGTTTGGCATGGGACAGCCCAGCCTCTCTGGTTTTAGGCGGGTCCTCCAGAAACTCCAGAAAGATGGACACAGGGTAAGCAGGACTGCTTCCGGGCAGGGTCTCGTAGCCCCCCAAATCTGGCAGAGGGGCTCTTCCCGGGAGTGGCCTGGCCACATGATGGGGAGGGTGCCTGGGGACCCAGACCAGGCTCTGCAGGCCTTGAATGCCACAATGATCATTGTGGTCAGCATGGTTGGGAAATTCTGGGTCAATTTTTATTTCCCTGTCGTATGTGGACATGGGGGCCCTAGGTCAGAAGCCCCTTATACACCCCACTTTGAGAACCTTGGAGAAGTGAGAAGGGGGACAGGGTGACAAGAGGGTCCAGGTCATAACAAGAGAGGCACAGCATGATGACCACAGCGGACACAGGTCCTTGTGTCAGCCCTATGAAGGCAGGGCAGTTCCTCCCATTGCAGAGAGGAGGAAACCGAGGCCCAGAGAGGATGAGTGACACAGCTTAGGAGTGGTGTCCCAAGACCCAAACTAGGCACCTGAACTCTAAATTAGAGCCTGTTTTTTTTTTTTTAAAGATTTTATTTATTCATTTGAGAGAACGAGAGAGACAGAGCACAAATGAGGAGTGGGAGAAGCAGACTCCCCGCTGAGCAGGGAGCCCGACGTGGGGCTTGATCCCAGGACCTGGAGATCATGACCTGAGCTGAAGGCAGATGCTTTATCATCTGAACCACCCAGGCGCCCCTAAATGCCTGTTTTTAATGACTCCTCTTTCCTGCCTGATGCTGAGGCGGGGTTTTGAGTGTCTGCAGGGCAGAGGCTGAGGGTCCCATCTGATTGCAGCCTGCATCTGGTTTGACCTGGGGTTTAGCTGGAGAGTCCCTGAGTGAACCAGAGTGGGGTGGGGTGTTAGTTCTGGGTGGATCCTCTCTTCCCAGCCTGACTGCAAGTTCCACAGGGAAGGGTCTGCCCACATCTCTCTCTGTGTGTAAGGTGCTCAGTGAATGAATGATTGCATGGCGATGGCGGGCATTCATTTTTCCCCCAGTGTTTATCAAGCACTTGATTTATCTGGCGTTCCGTGCTTGGAATAGTGGAGATGTGAAAATGACTAGAACATGGTTCGTCGTGTAAGGAACCTGTAGTCCATGAAGGGAGATGTAGTCACTGATCATGTTAGGATGAAGCAGGAAGCAACACCATGAGCTTCAGACAGAGGGCTGTTGGCCCCGAGAAGAGGGAGAGTCAGGAGCAGGTGGTATTTGGACCGAGCTTTGCTTCCTGGGTAAGATTCATGTTGCAGGGACGGGGTGGGGGTGACAGGCACTCAAAGAGCAGGGACCGGTCTGTGGCAAGGCACAGAGGTAAGGCAGAAGGTCGGGTCTCCGTGCTGGGTAGTGGGGACAGTTTCTTCCTCCTTTGGCTCCTGGCAGGGGTGCATCATCTTCTGTGTGCGGGAGGAGCCTGTGTTGTTTCTGCGTGCTGAGGAGGACTTCGTGCCCTACACGCCTCGGGATAAGCAGAATCTTCATGAGAACCTCCAGGGCCTGGGACCTGGGATCCGGGCAGAGAGCTTAGAGCTGGCCATCCGGAAAGAGGCAAGGGTCGCTGGCGTAGGTGGAGGCCCCCTTCCCTGGCAGGCCGTGGGCGGCTGAGGGGACCCTAGCCCCCAGCCCAGCTCTGCTCTCACCTGAGCAAAGTGCTCTCACCCACTCTTCTGCCCTGCTTGGGCGAGTAGCTGGATGCAAGGCCGGCTCACGGGAAGCTAGGGGAAGACCTTCCTGTTCCCGGCTCCGTTTGCTTCTGCCCCTTTCCCACCATGCGCACCTCCTCTGCACTCAGCATCCTTATTTAGCAGGGGCCTAGTGGAGTGAAAGGAGCATTAGACTAGGAGGCCCAACACCGAGGGTCAGCCCTCTGTGAGCTGTGAGGCCCGGATGAGGCACTTCTCTCGACGGGCCTCTGTCTGTCTGAGGTGCCTCTGTTCCCCTCCGCCACCTGGGGCCCTGTCAAGGTTTCGGAGGCTGTTGACGCACCACAGAGGTGTGTGCGTGGAGGGTGCCATCGTGGTTCCCCCAGAGACTCCCACGGGCAGGAGCCCGGTTGTCTCCCATCTCCCTTTGGGGTCTCGTCTCCTCTAGCACCCAGCTGACTGAGCTTCCCCCTGTCCCTGAGTCTGATGGCTTAGCGGACCCCTGCTGCCCATAGGGCAGGACGCTTCCTCCCTGGCCCCAGTGTGGGCCATGTCATCTTGTGCATAGGTGGCCCCTTCGGGCCGCTGGCCACCTCCATCCCATCAGGACTCCCAGGGCACAGAGCACCTCTGGCCAGCTGGATCCCCCTGGAGGAAGAGCAGCCTGTCCGTGGCCTCTTTGTGGTCTCCTCGCTCTAGAGCTCGGCCAGGAAGGCCAGTAGGGGCCTGCAGGTCAGTCGTGGTCCTCTGGCCCCCACTCCTCCATGCAGATCCATGACTTTGCCCAGCTGAGTGAGAACACGTACCACGTCTACCACAACATCGAGGACCTGCTGGGGGAGCCCCACGCTGTGGCCATCCGGGGCGAGGACGATGTGCACGTGACCGAGGAGGTGTACAAGCGGCCCCTCTTCCTGAGGCCTGCCTACAGGTACTGAGTGCCAGCCCTACCCGGTGACAGCAGATGACTTGGGCCGCATGGATGCCACTGTGCTGGGCAGGGGTGCTCTCTGGCCCTGCTCCCCAGCTGTGGTCTCAGTTTCACCGTCTGCAGGTTGGGCTGAGCTCCCCACACCCATCTTTCCCACAGGAATGCGGGGTGGGGGATGCCCGGGCTGTGTGGCCTGCCTGATGGGTCTCTCCGCCTCACCTGGCAGGTACCACCGCCTGCCCCTGCCAGAGCAAGGGGCCCCCCTGGAAGCCCAGTTTGATGTCTTTGTGAGTGTCCTCCGGGTAAGTCAGGGCAGGAGGCGGTGGGTGGTGGGAGCACAGAGTAGGGACAGGAGCCTGGAGAGCGGGTCTGGGTCTAGGCCCTGTCTCCACGGTGATGCTCAGGGCGAGTATGGCCTCTGGCTTTCCTCAGAGGAAGGTTTCCTTCTGTGTTGTATAAGAGGTGGAGTGTGTGTGTGTGTGTGTTGGGGGGGTGTATATTTGTACATTCTCTAATGACAGAGCCCAGCACTGACCATCTGAAGGCCTGGACTCTGGGCAGGCTCGGCTGCTAATTTGCTGTGTGATCTTGGACAAGTCACCTGACCTCTCTAGACACCAAGTTCACCGGGGCTAAAAATTTCTTATCCGTAGCCTCTTGAGCTGGTGTTTCCTGAGGACTGGTGGTGTTTCTTTCCTAGGCCCTGCGGGAGGCCACCTCATTTAATTTGCATCTCACGGCGATGTCAAATACAGGCCTGTCCCCTCTGAGCAGTCTCACTCCCAGGACCAGCTGGTTGGGCTGCCCCAGGGCCTGGGAAGGAGGCAGGGTAGTCCTCCTCGGAGCAGATGGAGCACACTGGGCTTTGAAGTTTGGCAAAAGCGGCTGAGCCACCTGTCTAGGCCCCCCTTGCCAAAGACTGTGGGGTGCAGATGGGCCGATGTCATGACCCCCCTCCCTCGACTTGGTCCCGTCTGAGGGTTTCCAGGGCATGCTGTTGTTGATGGTCATGGTCTTTCCCAGGAAACCCCCAGCCTGCTGCAGCTCCGAGATGACCACGGGCCTCCCCCTGCTCTCCTCTTCAGCTGCCAGACAGGCGTGGGCAGGACCAATCTGGGAATGACCCTGGGTACCCTCATCTTGTTTCACCACAGCGGGGCTGCCTCGAGGCCAGAGTGAGTGTCCCAAGGCACCGCAGGGATGAGGAGAGGAGGGGGCAGGGCTGCCAGAGTGCAGGGGACGTGTCAAGAGCCCAGGGCTAGAGCTGGAGTTGGGGCATGTGGGGTTCATTTCCTGGGTTGCCACAGATTTGCTGAGTAATGCGAAAAAAGTCACTTGACCTTTCTGGGCCTGTTTCCCCAGTGGGGAAAATACCCCTTGCTTCCCCCAGCCTGAATGGGAAGGAAAACTTGGAGACTGTAGTCCAGTGCCCCTCAGCGGCCATGTGAATGGAAATGTCAACAGGGGGGTGGTGGTAGAGGCCTTTGGGGGTACTACTTATGCTACTGACCCCTTCCTTGTCAGGGCTGTCCCCCTGCAGACCAAGCCACTGCCCCTGGAGCAGCTCCAGCTGATCCAGAGCTTTCTCCACATGGTGCCTCAGGGGAGGAAGATGGTGGATGAGGTGAGCCAGGGGGCTGGGGGCAGGGGCCGTGGAGGGCCGTGCCCTCCTCCGCTGGTGGGGTCTCTTCCTCCCCTGCACTGCCCCCTTTTTGACAAACCATTCTTTCCCTTTCTCTTCCCTTCCGCCTCTGCCATCTTTGCTCGGCCCTGCGGCCCTTTTCCCTCTCCCTTCCCTGCCCTGGTCGTGGGCACCAGGTGGACAGAGCCATCACTGCCTGTGCGGAGCTGCATGACCTGAAGGAGGTCATCTTGGAACACCAGAGGAAGCTGGAAGGCCCCCGGCCAGAGAGCCCAGCCCAGGTGAGGCCTGGAGAGGGTCTGCTTTTGCCCGAGTCCTGCAACCTCATTTTGTTAAACCTCTTGACTGGCTTCTTTCCAACCGACTTTTCCTGGTTGCTGCTTCTCCCAGAGAAGAGAGGCGTTCAGAGGAAGGGAAGCTAGAGGAGCTGGGCCTGCAGGAAAGATGGACAAGGAAGAGGGAAAGTTTACTTTCCCTGGCCAGGTCCCCTTGCTGCAGAATAAACAGGATGGAGGAAGGGGCTGCTGGCCAGGGTGCCGGGGGCCTCTGGATCCAGAGACTTCCCAGACTGTTCCTGGTTCCCCTCCGTGAGTCAGTCCCTTGCTGTTTCCCTGGGTAGGCCGGGGTTTGGTCCAGCCTGCTGCTTCTGGAAGAGTGATGGGCTCTGGGCTGTCTCAGCAGCCCTGTCCCTCAGCTCTGGGGAGAGGCCTTGTCTTGAGAGTGTGCACAGTGCATGGAAGCCATCTAAGGCCTGCAGAGACTTTTTCTTCTTCGACACTTTAAAAAAACATCTTTTGAAAGCAATAGTATAGTATGGAAAATTGAGAAATTGGAGAAGGCAGAAAGTCACCCATCATGTCAGCACAGCTGCTGGGAGCATTTGGGGCCAGCTTCCTTCCTCCCACGTGCTTTGTTTGTGACGATCTTGTGTCGGGCGCCCCAGGGCACGTTTGCGGCCTGCTTCTAGCCCTTCTCCTCAGCATCCCCGTGCCATCCCTGCTTTCGTCATCGCCGTTCTTGCCGGCTGTGTGACTTCAGCCATCGTTGGCCTGTTAGGTTAAGAGCGTGGCCTCTGGCCTGACCACGTGGGGTCCAGGCCTGGCTCTGCCACCTACAGGTGTGTGGACGTGGGCCACCTGCTTCACTGCTTCGTGCCTCAGTTTCCCTGCTTGTAAAAAGGGAGCCACGAATAATAACCAACCCGTAGAGTTGTTGTGAGGATCAGCTGGGATAAGAGCCATGAGGCCCTCAGAAGGGAGTCTGCGTGGAGCAGATGTCCCTGGGATGTCACCTGTCATGGTTTACTAACCACGCCCCTCTGGTTGGACAGTTGAGTTGCTTCCAGTTCCTCATCAGTGTAAATCCTTTTGCATCAAGATAACTTCATGAAAATGAAGCTGCTGTGTATTTAGGATTTTTTCCCTTCGTCTAGATTAGAGGTTGGCAAACTGTGACCCATGCGCCAAATCCAACCCGCCACCTTGTTTTCATGAATAAGTTTTATTGGAACATGGTCTTGCCCATTCAGTCCAGCACGTCCGGCTCTCTCACGCTGCAGTGGCCGAGTTGGGCAGGTACAGCAGAGACCCCAGAATACTTACTGCCTTTTATAGAAATAGACATTTGCTGACCTCTGGCCTAGATTCCCAAAGATGGGGTTCAATGTAATCAAAGGGTATGACCTTTCTTTCGGGCCTCTCTGAATCTCACTTGCCCTCCAGAAGGTGGTACTGACCCAGCAGGCGATCCCTGAGATCTGAAGGTGGAGAGAGGGAGCTTGGGATTCTCTCTGACAGCTCCTTGACCCCAGAGCATGCTGGGCTGGGGTTAGGACATTTGTTTGGGGATCCAGCTCTCTCTGCCATCAGCGTCATGATTGAGCAAGTCCGTTCATTTCTCAGAACCTCGGTAAAGTAAGGGTAAAAATCATGGCCCCCTTGGAGCACTGTTATGAGAGTCTTTTTGTTTTCTTGTGGGGTGAGTCACAGTTCTTAAGGGAGGGCCTCTGGCTTAGAGAAGGGTGTTTATGTACTTCTTTCCTCAACACGACTGTGCATGGCCCTGCACGTGCACGGCTTGGTGCAAAGAAGGGGGGGTCCCAGCTCGTCTGTGGGCACAGGCCCGGAGGACGAGGCGGTCCCTGGGTTGATAGCAGTGGTTCTGGGGTAGTCACCAACTGCTTCCCCTTCACCTACAGATTAATCGCAGCAAATCGGAGAGCGGTTAGACGCTTGGAAGAATTTCCAGCCTGGCAGAAGTTATAAAGGGAGGGGATAGATGGTGTTCTGGGGATTTCTCAGGCTTTCCTCCTGCCCTTCTGGGGATGGGGACAGGATGGCCCCGAGCCCTGTATTCACCACCCACCCCGCTTCTGGGTCACCTCCTCTCAGGGAAGCTGCAGCCAGCACGGTGTCCCGCAGAGGGCGCTGCAGAGTCTGGAGCGATACTTCTACCTGATCCTGTTTAACTACTATCTCCACGAGCAGGTGCGGCTGGAGGATGAGTGGACCCACAAGCCCTCCTCCTGGGGTCCCTCCAGCCCTGTCTCCCACGGTGACTGGCATGGGGTTGTCGAGGACCCCTGTGGAACTGGGGAGGAGGGTGGGGGCGTGTGTGTTGGTTCCAGAGGAAGGTGGGTGTGGGGGACATGGAGAGACCCCGATAGAGTGGTGGTCCTAGAGCAGGTCAGGCAGAGAGAGGTACAGTCTCTGTACCCTTAGCTGGGGCATTGGGGCCTGGAAGGATCTTGCTTCGGACCTCCTGGTCCTGTCTCCTCACCGCCCCCCTCCCTGCCCTGGACCATGATGGGTGTCTCTTGGGGCTCCCCCACCACAGGGCCAGCTGGGAGAGTTTGGGATGGCCTCGTGCCCCTGAACTCCCATCTCTCTCTGCCTCGGGCTGCAGTACCCGCTGGCCTTTGCCCTCAGTTTCAGCCGCTGGCTCTGTGCCCATCCTGAGCTGTACCGCCTGCCTGTGACTCTGAGCTCAGCGGGGCCTGTGGCCCCCGGGGACCTCGTCACTAAGGGCTCTCTGGTGAGTGTGGCCGGGTGGCTGGGGAAGTGGGAATGGGTGTGGGCTGGCCCCGGGGCTGGTGGGCCCTTGATTCCTGAGGGCTTGGGTTAAACATTGCTGCCCTTCCCAGAAGACAAAGGGGCGATGGCCTTTGGGGCAGCAGACTCTTCCTGTGAGTGACATGGGGTTGATCTCCGGCCCCAAGAAGCGTTTGCAGCTTTGGCCACTGCTGTCATTCCCTCTCCTCATTCTCAAACCCACGTGCTGCAGGCGAGGAGGCAGGAGGCCTGGTTCTGATGTCTTTGCCACCAGCCTCTCCCTGTTGAGCCTCAGGTTCCTCATCTGGAGGGTGGGCACTAGCGCCTTTCTCCTTGCCGGGGTGGTGATGAAGTGCCAAGTGTGCAGAAATGCTTGGTAAACTGTAGAGAGCTGGTCCCTGCTCTGCCCTGCCCCACCTTGGGCTGGGCTCTGAATCTCAGTCAGCTGCTGTGGGTCCCAGGCTTGCTGCTCTCCCCGCAGGGGGCGGACGACCTCATCTCTCCAGACGCACTCAGCACTGTCAGAGAGATGGATGTGGCCAACTTTCGACGGGTGCCCCGCATGCCCATCTATGGCACAGCCCAGCCCAGCGCCAAGGTGACCACCCCAGGGGCCCTACGTCCCCTCGTGGGCTGAGTGGGGTAATGGTTGAGCCCTTTCACTGATGGCCCTCCTGTCTCCCCGCAGGCCCTGGGGAGCATCCTGGCCTACCTGACTGATGCCAAGAGGAAGCTACGGCATGTCGTGTGGGTCAACCTGAGGGAGGAGGCCGTGCTGGAGTGTGACGGGCATACCCACAGCCTGCGGTGGCCTGGGCCCCCCATGGCCTCCGACCAGCTTGAGGTGAGGCCCTCCTGCCTTCCGCACATCCCTACCTTGGAGGCCTTCTGGAAAATTGGCCTGGGAGCGTCTTTGGAAGGTCCCATGCTCCTCTTGTAAGATGGAGAAACTGAGGCCCCAAGAGGAGCAGACTCAGGGAGTGGCTGATTCAGGACTCCCACGGTGGCCATCTCCCTGGCTCTGGGTCTGGCTCTGATCCCTGAGGCTCAGGAAGGGGCAGGGATGCCCCCGAAAGCCAGGACTGGTCCTGGCCATGGCAGGCTCTGGCTTTCCGGGGCTGGCCTGGAGGCTGCCTCAGTGGCCTGAGCCCTCTGTCCCACCCTCCTCTAGAACCTGGAGTCCCAGCTGAAGGCCCACCTGAGTATGCCTCTCCCAGGCACGGGGGGTGCACCGACCCGCAAGTTCCAGACATGCCTCACCACGCAGGAGGTCTTCACCCAGCACCGTGGGGCCTACCCCGGCCTCACTTACCACCGCATCCCCCTGCCAGACTTCTGCGCCCCCTGTGAGCAGGTGAGGGGGCTGTGCAGGCCTGGCCTCTGGGGAGCCAGAGGGGGCCCTCTCCCACCCCGCCCTGGCCTGGGCCTTGGCTCGGGATGCAGCTCCCCCGGGGGACTGGGAGCGTGTTCCACGAGCCTTCACATAGGACCAAGTGGTTTATTCGCTCGGCACCTGTGTGTTTATTACGTGTCGTTGGTGTGTGTGTGGGAGCACATCCATGGTGTTCGTGAATGTGCGTCCGTGAGGGAGACGTGTTTGGAGAGTGTGTGGGTATCACTGTGGAGTGTGTGGTGGGTGTGTTGGTCTGGAATCCGTGATGTGCCTCTTGTCTTTCCCAGGGGGTATGTGGCAGGCGTGTCTGGGGAACTGTGTGGTATGGAATGTGTATGGGGGCTTGTGGGGTGCTTGTGTGTGACCAAGGTGGTTTGTGTGTTCTCTGTAGCTTTGTGTCTTTGCAAGAGTCTGTGTAGTTTGTGTGTCTTAGGGTCCACGGACCCGTCCGTGGTGTGTGTGCCCAGCACTCACTGCGTGCGGGTCGCCGCGTGCCTGCGTGTACATCGGTTGTCTGGGTGATGTGTCTGTGCGGGGTGTGGTTCTGGGCCCGGGGCGTGTGGGGACCTCTCAAGTGCAGCCTGTGAGAGGCAGAGACGGGGCTTGTGGTTCCTGCCTCTGCGGGTCTGGTTGCCTGTTGTTTATCGCCCCCTGGTGGGCGTGTGCTGCAGTGATCTGCTCAGGTCGGACCCCTGCCCTCAGGCTGGGACCTGGGTTGGGTCCCTCTCAGGCAAGCAGCCAGGCCAGGGGTCCCTGCGCAGCCCCGGGGGACACAGCACGTGGAAGTGGCATACGCGTGTTTCATACGCTGCCTGGCGGAGGGTGCGTGTGTGCGTGTGTGTGTGTGTGTGTGTGTGTGTGTGCCCTCGCGCACCTGGGGGAGGGGGGAAGGTAGCAGGGGCATGGCTGTTTACAAGCATGTCATCTTGTGCCTGGCTGCCCCAGGACCGCTGCTCTGGGGTTGCCATTTGGAGGGGTGGGCCGCGTCGGGAGTCTGCAGCCTGGAGCACCGGCTGCCTGACTCAGACCCTGGTCTCCCCACCCAGGATTTTGACCGACTGCTCGAGGCTCTGCGGGCTGCCCTCGCCAAGGACCCGGGCACTGGCTTCGTGTTCAGCTGCCTCAGTGGCCAGGGCCGGACCACGACCGCTATGGTGGTGGCCGTGCTCGCCTTCTGGCACATCCAGGTTTGTGTGGCCCGTCCTGTGTGGACAGGGCAGGGTGGTACTCGGCCCCGGGGACCCTGGCTGTGGCAGGGGCAGGAGCGTGTGGGGGACAGGGATGGTGCATGGTGTGGAGCCTCTCCCATCAGTCCTGGGCAGAGGGCCTGGGGGCTGGCAGACCCCCGGCAAGGGGTTCCTCACGTGGGGGAGGGCACGACCTGGATGGACGTGCTCCCTGTCCCAGCAGCTGTCCTCCCCCAGGGCTTCCCCGAGGTGGGCGAGGAGGAGCTCGTGAGTGTGCCTGATGCCAAGTTCACCAAGGGCGAGTTTGAGGTGAGCACACCCCACGGGGTCCCCCGGGGACACCTGGTGAGGGGAGAGGGCGAGTCTTGCTGGCAGGTCTGGGGGATCTTCAGAGCTCCTATTAATTACGTCACCTTCTTGCACCTCATCATCTCAGTGCTCCCCTGCTCCCATTTCACAGATGAGCAAACCAAAGCACTGGTCAGCTTGGCTCCGGGCCCTGACAGATGGCTCTTGGAGAAGAGGGGGCTAGACTGACCCCCGTCTGCCTGGCCCTGCTGCTGGGCTGCTCTGTGCCCTGGGGGAGCCCCTGGCCACATCTTGTCTGGGTGACGCTGACGCCTGCCTCCCAGGCGCTTGGGCCCCAGCTGGGGCCGGTGACCTTGATGCCGGGCCATGGCCTGTCCCACCCCACCCCTATTTCAGTCCAGGGCACTGGGTGGATGGCCACTCACATTTCCGATTTAGTCACCCCTGTATTGTGCCCCTGCTACATACCGTCAGCCCAGATGCCCTGCAAGTAGGCGGCAAAGTCTCTGTCTTACGGGGGGCGGGGAACGTGGCGCTCAGAGCTCGCATGTGGCTCCCTGGTGTCAGCGCTGTGGTCGGCTCCTGCCTCGTCGACTGGCCTCATCACATTCCCGCCCCCCACCCCCGCTGTCCCTGCTGTCTTGTCACCCTGGCCTCTGCATGCTCCCTCAAACTTGCCAAACTCCTTCAGCTTCTTGGCCTTTGCATGTGCTCTTTCCTCTCCTAAAACTCCTCTCTTCCTTCTTGCTGATTCGCTGATTCTTAGATTTTTATTTTTTTCATTGTGGTAAAATGTACCTAGCATATAATTTGCCATTTTAACTGTGTTGAAGCGTATGGTTCTGTGGCACTGAGTACATTCACTTTGTAACCAGTACCACCATCCGTCTCCAGAACTTTCTATTCGTCGCAAACCGACCGTACCCATAAAACAGTAACTCCCCATTCCTCCCTCCCCAGCTGCTGGTGACTGTGGTTCTGCTTTCTGTCTCTATGGATTTGACTATTCCATAGAACTCATACAAGTAGAATCATCCAGTATTTGTTTTTCTGTGTCTTGTCTATTTCATTTAACGTGATGTCCTCAAGATTCACCCATGTTGAGGGTCTGTTAGCTTTCGCACCTTTTTCAGGCTGACTATTATCCTATTGTACGTATGGACCACATTTTGTTCATCCACTCATCTGTCGGTGGACACGTGGGTTCTTGTCACCCTTTGGTGATTGTGAGTCATGCTGCTATGAACTACAGGAGTACAAATCCCTGTTCAGATATCTGCTTGCACTTTCAGAAGTGGAATTGCTGGATCATACGGTAACCTGTTTAGTTTTTAAACAACGGCCGTATTGTTGTCTGTGGCAACATATCCACCAGCAAAGCACAAGAGGTTTAGTTTCTCCACGTTTTTGCCAACACTTGTTGTTTTCTGTTCTGATAGTTGCCATCCTGGTGGATGTGAGGTGGCATCTTATTGTGGTTTTGAGTCCCCTTTCCCTGATGATGAGTGATGCTGAGCATCTTTCCATGTGCTCATTGGCCACCTGCATGTCTTCTATGAGGAAATGTCTGTTCAAGTTCTTTGCCCATTTTTGATTTGGTTTGCTTTGTTGTTGAGTCATGGGAATTTTTCAGTATATTCTGGATATCAGTCCCTTAGCAGATATGCGATTTGCAAATATTTCCTTTCATTCTGTTGGTTGCCTTTTTACGCTGTTGATGGTGTCATTTTCTTTTGTCATCTGTGCTTCTGATGTCCTGTCCAAGAAGTCATTGCCACATGCAACGTCATGAAGTTTTCCTCTCTGTTTTCTTCTAAGAGTTTTGTGGTTTTAGCTTTGTGTTTATGTCTTTGATCTGTTTTGAGTTACATTTGCACATGAATATCCAATTTTCCCAGCACCACTGTTGAGATGGGCCTTGAGGTTTTCCTTCGTGGGGGGTGAGTCTGTTGCTGGGGCTGGCGGCCTCACCTACCCCCCTTGGTTTTCTCTGTGTTCCCCTGGCCCCAGGTGGTGATGAAAGTGGTGCAGCTGCTACCTGAGGGGCACCGCGTGAAGAAGGAGGTAGATGCGGCCCTGGACACAGTCAGTGAGACCATGACCCCCATGCATTACCACCTGCGGGAGATCATCATCTGCACCTACCGCCAGGTGAGCCTCGCCCTGACCCACGTGCCCCTCCCCTAGTGCACAGAGAGGTTGTGGCTGACTGGATGTGAGGTGGCTAGGGCTCCTGTGGGGCCCTCATCGGTTCTGTTACTTCCTCACCTCCTGGATGTGACCTGTGAAATGGAGACGCGCCCGGCCCCAACTCACCCTTGCCTGATTCGGGAGTGCTTGACGAGGTGTATGCGCTGGTGATGTTCAGAGTGTTTGACAGCTGTGGCAGCCCTGGGACCAGTCAAGGATGTGGCCAGTCAGAACTAACGCCCTGTCCTGACCCCTGTGGTGTCAGATGTTAACCCTTCCGGTTCTGGGTCGTGGGCGGTGTCGAGGGTCCAGGGCAGGAGTCAGGTTGGTAGATGGGGCCACTCCCGGGGCTTGGCAGGTGGCCATTTAATGACCAGCAGGGCAGCCGTTCAGTGTTTTAATGGCTGATGCCGCATGACTGCCCACTCAGGACCTATGTATGTCTGTGCTGCCCTCGGGCTGGGGCTGGCCCCCAGATTGACCTCCTCAGTTAAAAATTGTGTTTGGATAACTCATGAAATGACAAAAATGAAACGGTTTCCATAAAGGTACAAATTTTATGTAAAAATCCAGAATTTCAGCCTATTTAGAAAAAAAAAGTGCCTTTCCATTAGCTGTCTGTGGGGCTCTGTCCTACACAGCTCTCCTGGCCCAGTCAGATGACTTGACATTATCTTCTGATTACCACGTTCACCCACCCCCCGTTCCAGAGGACAGGCTGCTGCTGACCTCAGCAGTGGGACGATAGGGATCCCTGAACCCCATCCCAGGGCTCCCTGGTGGTGGATTGGTGGGTGGGGTGGGGGTGGAGCAGAAGCAAGATAGTCATTCCCCAGTATGGCCACCAGGTGGCCTTAGTGAGCTGGGCCTGGGTCAGACTCTCAAAGAGGCTGAAGAACACAAGGCCTTCACTCTCTAATGCAGTCTTTTTCACCCGGCGGGGGCGGCACCATACTAGTTTCACACGGGAGCTTTGAAACATTCCCATGCCTGAGTTCCATCCATAGAGAGTCTAATTTACTAGGTCTGCTTGGGGGGGCCAGCGTGTGAGTGTTTTTTTGTACAGTTCCCTAGGTGATCCCAATGCATAGTCAAGGTTGAGGACCACCTCGTCTAAGCGGGAGTCCCCAGCTGCACTGAGTTTCAAGATCACCTGGAGAACCCGTTGCTGGGCTCCAGTTCTGAGTTTCTGATTCCGTAGGTCTGGAAAACTCTTAGGTGATACTGATGCTCCTGGTGGGGGGCCACACTGGGGGATCTGCTGCAGTCGAGTCTCACCCTCTTGCTGTCTTCTTAATAACAGCTTTATGGAGATAGAATTCACATACCATACGATCCAGTTATTTAAAGTGTGCAATTGAACAGTTTTTAGTACTTTCACAGAGCTGTGTGGCCATCACCACAACCAGATACAGAACATTTTCATCACCCCATTTCGCCCTTCCCCAACCCTAGGCAACCGTGAATCTACTTTCTGCCTCTATGGATTTGCCTATTCTGGACATTTCATAAAAATGGAATCATACAGATGTGGTCCTTGTGACCAGCTTCTTTCACTCAGCATGATGTTTCCAAGTTTCATCCGTGTTCTAGCACGGATCATTACTTCGTTCATTTCTGTGACTAATATTCTATTGTATGGATACATCACATTCTGTTGTTGGTGTCATGCCTCATCTAAGGTCATGAGAATTTACCTCAAAGAGGTAAGTAGATTTCTTCCAAGATTTTATAGTTGTAGCTCTTATATTTAGTCTTTGATTCATCTTGAGTTAATTCTTATATATGGTGTGAGGTAGAGATCCAGCTTCATTCTCTTGCATGGAGATATCCAGTTGTCCCAGCACATGTGTTGAAAAAACAATTCTTTCCCTATTGAATTATTTTGACATCTCTAAAAAAATCCATTGACTGTAAATGTGAGGGCTTATTTCTGAGATTTCAATCCTGTTCCATTGATCTGTCTGTTCTATTCCAGTACTGCTGCCTTAATTACCATAGTATTGTAGTGAATTTTGAAATCAGGAAATGAGTTCTCCAAGTACGACTTCTTTTTCAGAACTTATTTTGGCTGTTCTGGGTCCCTTGTATTTCCATATGAATTTTAGGATTAACTTGCTAATTTCTGAAAGAAAAAAAAAAGCCAACTGAGATTTTGATAGGGATTTTGATGCAGATCAATTTGGGGAGTATTGGCATCTTAACAATAGTTACTCTTTTGATGCATAATATGAGATGTCTTTCCATTTATGTAGGACTTCTTTGTTTTTTTTTTACAAGATATTTTATAGTTTCTAGAGGGTGAGTTTTACACTTCTTATATTGAATTTATTCATAAGTAGCTTATTGCTTTTGTGTTATTGTAAATGGAGTTAATTTCTCAATTTCATTTTTTAGTTTGTTCATTGTTACTATATAGAGATACAAGTGATATTTGTATATTGATCTTCTATCTTGCAAGCTTGCTAAACTAATTCATTAGTTTTGATACTTTCTTTAGTGAATTTCTTAGAATCTTCTGTTTACAAGATCATGTCGTATGCAGATAGAGATAGTTTTGCTTCTTCCTTTCTAATTTGGATGTCTTTTATTTAATTTTCTTCCTTAATTGCCCTGGCTAGATCCTCCAGTAGAATGTTAAGTAAAAGTAGCGAGCACAGACACCCTCTCTTGTTCCTGATCTTAGGGGGAAAGCTTTCAGCCTTTCACATTAAATCTGATGTTAACTGTAGCTTTTTCATAGATACTCTTTGTCAGCTTGAGAAAGTTCCCTTCCATTCTTAGTTTACTGAGTGGTTTTTTTTGTTTTTTTTCATGAGGAGATAGTGAATATTGTTAAATGCTTTTTCCATGTCTGTTGAGATGATTATCTTGTTTTTTGCCCTTTATTCTATTGATATGGTATGATATTTTAATTGAAGGTATTAAACCAACCTTACATTCTGGGATAAATCCTGCTTGGTCATGGTGCGTCTTTAATGTTGCTAGATTTGGTTTGTTGAGGATTTTTGTGTCAGGTTCATAAGAGATCTTGGTCTCTTATGTCTTTGTTCGGTTTGGCGTTAGGGTCCTGCCGGCCTCACAGAATGTGACTGTCTCACTTTTGCAGATGAGACTGAAACCTCGAGAAGGGAGAGGCCATCATACGTGCATTATTCAGCTGGGGCTGCCACAACAAAATACCACAACCACATGGCTTAAACAACAGAAATTTGTTTTTTCACATTGTGGAGGCTGCAAAGTCCAAGATGAACGTTCTGACCAATTTGTTTCCACTGAGCTCTCTCATCCTGCTTGCATATATGGCTGCCTTCTCACCGTGTCCTCCCACAGCCTTTCCCGGGTACCTGGATGTGGACAGATAGCGGGATGGGAGAGAGAGAGGGAAGGCGCTGTCTGATATATTTTCTTAGAAAGACACTAATCTTAGAGATCCTAGAACTACTGGTAGAGAACAAAGAAAGAGCTAAAAGCAACCTCAATCCCGGTAGTTGGGATTCAAGAGGCCCGTTTAAAACAGGGAAGGACCTTTCTAGGGTTGCCAGTATATAACCTTGCTAAATGTGTCCATTTTAAAGAAAGGAGAGATGGAAGGAAAGAAAGAAGCAAAAATTTAAAAACCTAACTACCATCTACACAGTTGGCATTTCATAAAAGAAAGAATATTTTAGTACCAGAAAAGTAGAATGGACATGATCTCAGAGTAGTTAAGAGTCCTTGAACAGATCTGTGTTTCTAAGTTCCTGTAGACCTGTGAAACTGGTTATGGACACAGATTTGTGAATCACAGCTTTTGGTGACCAGGCCACTATGTCCTTTAGCCAGAAAAGGCAGAATGTCTTTCCTCCAAGGTCACCCTGCACTTGACCTGGCCTGGCTAGGCCCAGAGTGTATGTCCTGCCTGAGGTCAGGATGGCCTGAGCTGCCCCAGCTGCCTTGAGATTAGAAGGGGCCTCTGGCCTGCTCCATGCATGCGTGTGTGTGGACTCTGGAATGGCCGGATTGTTCTGGGCTGACTGGCAGAAGGAATGTGGATGTGGGTGACAGCCGTCTTCATCCTCTCTGACCGCCTGTGTCCCACCTGCCAGGCTGTATCAGTACTGTTTCCCAGCAGGGCTGTGTGCGGGAAGGACACGAGGGACCGGAAGTACAGGGCTGACACACGTCAAGCGTTCAACTAATGGGAGGGCTCTGAGGATCCGTGTAGGGCCAGAGTGTCCTGTGATATCCTGTAGCTTCAGAATCCCCACAGGGACCCTCAGATTTTAGTGCTAAAAGACTTACAGAGCATTTGTCCCCTCTGTTGACAGATGAGCTAGAGAGTGGGTTGTGTAGCGTCCCATGTGAGTTGGTATCAGAGCAGGGCTGAGAGGCAAAGATCCTCGCTCCCAGGCCCCACCCTCTAAAAGTTATTTCATGCCACTCAGCACCTGGTCCATGTTTAGATTTTCTCAGTGGTCTCACAAAGTCTTTTTGCAGTTGGATCAGGATCCGAACAAGAGCCACATGTCACATTTGGCTGATGTGGCCCATGGAATCTAGAGCAGCTCTTCCCCCTTTTATTCCCCAGAAGCGTAACCCCAGAGGTAAGCGGGTTGCTTCCTAGTCATCCGCAGTCTGGACCTGGTTAGTTGCACCCCTGGTTCTAACTGATCACGGGTGATGCTGTGGGCTGCCACGGGGGTACAGAAGGCCCCGTGGTCTCTTCTGTGACCGCGCAGCTGCTGGTGCTCATCCCCTGGATTCTTTATTTCACGGAGGGTTTGCAAAATGCTGGTATGCTGGCTCTCTCATTCCCCCTCCGTTAACTAACTGCAGTAATTCCAGAAAGATCCTCCGCACTGAGGTGTGGTGGAGGCAGGAAGGCAGGGCCAGAGCTTGGGTTTTCACTTGACTTGCTCACATTCAAAGGAGGTTTGGGAGGTGCTTTTCTAAAGCTGAGGGGAAGGATGTTGGGTTTG